CTCCCTCTCCTCCTCCCTCCCCCTCCTTCCCTCTTCTTCCCTGCAATGGGAGGACCACCCTTACCTGGAGTGTCCTAAGAGCCTGGCCTCTCAGGGGCACCAGAGACCCAGCCACTCACACCTGCCCACCCCCTAACTCTCTAAACTGCCCCCAGAATGGCTGAAGAATGAAGCCGGAGAGTGAGACACATCTGGGTCAAAGTCCTGGCCTTGCCCCAAACTGCCCTGTGACCCTGGCCCAGTGGCTGACCCTCTCTGGACCGTCCCCACCGCCCAGCCCCCCTCCCTCCCTGTCTGGCGATGCTGTCTCCTCCCTTTCAGCTTCCTCCCGACAGCACAGCCTCCTCTGCCCAAGATCCAGCAGCCGCCCTCCAGGAGAAAAGCCAGACTCCACAGGGCATCGTTGGGGAGAACACGCTCTTCCTGTGCTGCTTCTAGGCTGGGCACTGGGCTCCAGAGAAACGTGGGCGAATCTGAGTCTGCAGGCGTGGCCCACGGAGGAGGGAGAAACGACCTCGTGGGGAAGGCGAGGGAAGTGGGGGCTGTGGGGCCTGGGGAGACCGGAGCTGGGGTCCCCACACAGCAGTTTGCACATTGGAGGAGCGGGGAATTCTTTGGTGAGCCTGGAGGAGGCCTGCTGGGAAGCAGGACTCGGAACGGAACAGAAGCAGAACCGCACTGCCCAGCCTATGTGGGTGACTTTACCAGGATGGTGATGGGGAGCCGGGGAAGGGTTCAAAGCAGGAGAGACTCCACTGGGGGCCATGTGGGGATGGCCAGACCACTTGAGGGCTGGATTAAGGAGGCAGGTGGTTCACAGCGGACTGGAGGAGGTGGGGGAGGAATGCGGCAGCCGCTGGACAGGAGCAAAGAGGCCTGATGGCCTCCGGGACTAAGGCTTGTGGGAGGTGACAGCTTTCCCTCCAACAGCCCAGCGAAAGGCAGGTGAGAAGAAGAAGGGAGGAGAGGGTTGGTGAACAGGTCACACTGAGTCCGAGAGTTGGCAGGACCTCCCCATGGACGCCTTCCGCTGCACGTTAGACAAGGGCGCTGGGCTCAGGAGAAACCCTCGCCCC